GTAAGGAATTTCATTTTCTTTGACACATTTTGCCCCTGGGTCTTTATTTCAAAATTTCTCACCTAAAATTGTGTTGAGTTGGTAGGAATTTAAAGCAACGAATTAAATATTTTAAAAGAATAAAATCGTTAAATTTCAATTTCATGTATTTTCCATTTAACTCTTTAGCTTATGTGATATGTTAATCATAATAATCTAACTTGCTTAAGACAATTAGTATTAGTTAAAATTGGCAAAACTAAAAGTAGGAGACTATCCTACACAAAATTAATTGTTTACGAACTTATTAAAATATTTTAAAAATATAGTGACGAAATAGACCATATTAAAAGTTAAAAGATAGTGACCTATTGAACATAGAATTAAAAATCAATCTATTTATATTACATACAGAAATTTCATAAACTCAATATGATTTTTTTAAAACTTGTATTAACTAAATAAACGAAAACTTAATTTGGGTTTGTGTTTTGAATAATCATAGCTTCTAATTCTACCATGAACTAAATTCTTCTTAATTTAAAAGTTTACAATTATGACACAATTTTAGCCATCTATTATGAACTAAAGTGTAGAAATTTAATTCCATAGACTTATTTTTCAATATATCTATATATATATTTATATTTATAACCATAGTAGGGAGTGAGTTCTTCTTATAGGTACAATTTCAACCACTAAACACACGCATGACACGTGTTGTGAATACCGAATTGTTAGATGGGTCTTTCTTTGAATGGTTTTGTTTCTTCTTTTGAGAACTAAGTTTATTTTCATATCTTTTTGAACTTGTTATTGCTTTATTGATCCATTATATTCTACTATTGATTAGGAAAATTATGGATAGAACTTGGATAAAAGACCTGAATAGGTTAAGCAAAGAATATAAATAAGGGATTAGGTCATTTGTTGAATTGTCAAAGAATCACGTTGACGAGAGAGGATTTACACGTTGTCCATGCAAGAGATGTCAAAATACTAAATGGAAACGACCCTATGATGTTGAAGAAGATTTATATAAATATGGAATGTCTCCACTTTATAGTAGATGGATTTTTCATGGAGAAACTCTAGATTTATCTGCTTATGTGACTCGAAGTGAAAACATCACACGTAATGTAGAGGGATCAAATGGAATTACTGAAATGTTAGACGATTTGACTAATGAGGAATATCATGATCAAGATTACTCAACTGGGATTGGATCAAGTGATAATAGTCAAAGTGGAAGTAATATGTTCCAATCGATGTTTGAGGAAATTAATCAAGAGCTATACCCTAGATGTACATCAATTTCCTCGCTAACCTTCTTGGTTAAATTAATGCATATCAAAGTACTCAATCATTGGAGTAATAAGTCATTCGATATGCTATTGTTGAAAGAAGTTTTTTCGAATGGTTCTAAAATTCTAGAATCTTCTTATGGTGCAAAGAAGATGTTGCGTGACCTAGTTTTAGGATATGAAGTATACATGCTTGCAAAAATGATTGTATGCTATTTTGGAAGGAAAATGCATAAGTAGATAGATGTCCACAGTATAATGAATCACATTACAAAATTAAGAAGAGTAAAGCAAAGAAAATACCGCACAAAATATTGAGACATTTTCCATTGAAGCCGAGAATGGAAAGATTATTTCTGTCAAAATATACTGCTAGAGACATGAGATGGCACATGGAAAAGAGAAAAAATATAAAAGGAATTCTAAGACATTCAGCAGATGCTGAGGCTTGGAAACATTTTGATAGACAATATCCATGGTTTGCAAAAGATCCAAGAAATGTTAGATTAGCATTGCCACAGATGGATTCAATCCATTTGGCAATATGGGTACGACGAACAGCACGTGGCCAGTAATGTTGATTGCATACAACTTTCCACCATGGAAATGTATGAAAGAAACATATATTTTCATGTCGTTACTCATAGCAGGGCCAAAGGTTCCAGGAAAGGTGATAGATATTTACTTACAACCATTGATAGATGAGTTGATGGAGTTGTGGAGTATCGGCTTTGAGACATATGATGCTTGCAGTGGTCAGAAATTTCGACTCCATGCAGCTTTGATGTGGACTATCAATGACTTTTCTGCATATGGCAATTTGTCGAGATGGAGTACGAAAGGATATAAGACATGTCCAATTTGTAACGAAGGCGTTACATCTGCCCCATTGCATAGTAAAATATGCTATATGGGACATTGTCGATTCTTGCATAAAGATCATCCCTGGCGTAAAAGTAAACAGTATAATGGAAAAACCGAACATAGACTTGCACCACGTCATTTTTCTGGATCGGATGTCCTTCACCAATTAGAATCCATTGAGTTTCCGCCACTTGGAAAAACTGTAAACATCTTACAATGGAAAARGAAGCRATTRCATGATAAAGTAAATTGGGTGAAGAAAARCATCTTTTTTGAGTTACCATATTGGTCRAATCTTAAGATTCRACACAAACTGGATGTTATGCATATCGAGAARAATATATGTGATAATGTCATGGGCACATTATTAAACRTCGAAAGGAAAACAAAGGACACTGATAAAGYACGTAGAGATTTAATGAGGTTGAACATTMGTAAAKAACTRCATCTTCAACAAGTCGGTAATAAATGGGTGAAAYCGCATGYGAGCTACAMTTTAACAGTAGAAGAAAGAAGGAAATTTTGCAACTTCTTGAAAACAATTAAATTTCCTMATAGTTTTRCATCAAACATATCRAGATSTGTTAGTGGTAAAGATGGACAGATATCTGGACTCAAAAGTCACGACTCACACGTCTTGTTGCAAAGACTTTTACCAGTGGGGGTTCGTCCTTTCTTGCCCAAAGATGTGAGTTCGACAATTGTAGAATTGTCAGACTTTTTCAAGGATCTAACTGCAAAGACTTTAAAAGTCGAGACTTTGAATAAGCAACAAGGAGCAATCGTATTGATTTTATGTAAATTCGAGAGAATATTCCCTCAAGCATTCTTCGATGTCATGGTTAATCTAGCTGTTCACTTACCAGAAGAAGTCAAACTTGTTGAACCTGTTGGTTATAGTTGGATGTATCTAATAGAAAGGTATGATATGTTAGTGCCTTCATGTCTAGTTTTCAATATATTTATTTATTTGGTCATAATAACACTTGTTCATAGGAGATTGATGACATTGAAACAATACGTAAGAAATAAAGCGCGCCATGAAGGATCTATAGCAGAAGCATTCATTGCAAATGAATCGTTAACGTTCTGCTCGATATACCTAAGTGGAATTGAAACAAATTTCAATAGGCCAGTTCAGAATGATGATCAGCGTGACTTGAATGAAACAAATAAAGGATGTCTGTCTGTGTTCTCACAAAATGCACGTCCAATCGGTGGTTCAAAAATGAACAACTTTCATATACTGAGTTACAAAAAGCCCACTGGTATATCCTAACCAATTACGAAGCAGTCGATGAATACAAACGGTATGTTTTTTTTATATATATTTAGAAAATTATTCTTACTTCAAACATATATTCATTGTTCGATCATTGGGTAGAGAGCACGAAATGGAACTTCAACATGGAAGTAGTGGTAATCTCACAAGGTTTCAAGAGATCTTATTTCCAGAATGGTTTAAAAAAAAGTGAGTTCTCAAGTTTTTTCGACATCAAATGCAGTTGTGAATGAGTTGTATGCACTTGTCTGTGGCTCGGACTGTCAAGTAAATTCATATCAAGGGTGTGTTACTAATGGGGTTCGGTTCAACACAAACGAGAGGGATGGCTGTTGCACCACTCAAAATAGTGGAGTCTGTGTATTTGGTGGAGATGATAATGAGATATCTGACTTCTACGGTATTATTAAGGAAGTGATTGAATTGAAGTACATTAAAGACAAACAAGTTCTTCTTTTTAGTTGCGATCGGTATGATAAAACAAGCATAAACACGTGTCACTTATGGTATAAGGATGATCAGTTTATACTTGTTTCTCAAGCACAACAAGTATTTTATGTTGATGATCTCCAATTAGGTAATGGATGGAAAGTAGCTCAAAGAATTCAACACAGACATTTATGGGATGTGCCTAAAGTAGAAGAAATTGATTTAATCGAAACCGATATCAATCAATGTGCAGTGGATGAAGTGGATCTCGAGACACAAACATTTCATAGACCAGACATAGATCCAAGTATATTATCTGACAATACTGGTACAATTAAGATAGTATTAAATTTTGATGAAGTACAAGACGAAATAGAGGATGAGGACGAGGACGAGGACGAAGATGAATATGATGAAACAACATCGTCGGATGAAATGGATGATGACTCTGACATTGATGAGTAATTCAATATGGTATATTATATGTTTTGTCAGTTTAAAATTTTTATTTCGGACTAATCCTAACAACTTGTGTTCTGTTTTCTTATTTTCATTATGTAGATAGAATGTCATCAGACAGCGAAGGTGAGGATACCATCGCTGGAATCACACGAACTCGAGGGGAAACTGGTGGCGAATTCTTGTTACGAGTCGTAAATGTAGTTGGAAAAATCAAGCTCGAATGGACGGAGCAACAAGATAGACCAATTGGACCTGGGTCAGCTTCGTTTAACAGCGAGATAGGCTATTTGGCACGCAACTATATTTGATGTGAAGCGTGCAAAGAAAAAGGAGATAACGGTCCTAGAGACTAATAAAATCATTCAGATGTTACTGGTAACTATTTTTTCTTATGTTGTATTTGTTGACCACTAATAATTGAATATTTTGTTAACTGGTTTTAATGACTACGTTTTGTAGGAGAAGTTTGTTGTCGATATATCTCAGCCACATGTGCATAAATATATTTTATACGAGATTGGAACTCGATTCAAAGATTATCGAGCGAAACTACATCGTCATTACAAAAAGTCACGTGATCCAGCACGTGCTTGCCAAAAGCCGTATAAAGACAGAAAACAAGAAGACTGGAACATATTGTGTGATAGATGAGAATCTCCTGCATGGAAGGTAACTAATATATGATCTTAATTCTTTGTTATCATTTTATAAGTATTGTTTCTTAACTAAACATGTAATTTTGTAGGAAAAATCTGCCAGAAATAAGATGGCACTTAGTAAATTGAGGTTCAATCATCGAGGTGGACCAAAACCATTTCAGTGCATCGAGAAGATTCGGTATGAACCATATAATTAATTTGAATTGTATTGCTACTTTAGATTTTAGGTTCTTACTATTTTTACTACAATTTAACAATTTTTTTTAATAGAGAAAAGAAGATGGGACATATTTAAGTCTCATTCATATATTCTTCAATATGCATTATTCGGAGGAAAAAGGTTGGATTAACGAGGAAGCGAGGAATTCATATGTAAGTATTCGTTTAATTTTGTCATACTTAAGTATTGATGTAAGATATATATATCTTAAAGCTCTTAACGACACACTTATTTTTTTTTAGGAAGAAATGATTACCTTAAAGGCGTATCATGCTTCTCAAGGAGACGAAAAAACAGAAGAAGAAATCATGGAGACGGTCCTTGGGAGAAGATCAAATTATATAATAGGAATGAGATATGGACCGAAACCCACCAGAAACAAAGGATCATCATCAAAATACTCTGATGAATATGTGGAGTCATTAGAGGCTCGTCTTCAGAAGCATGAGGAAGAATTGGCAACTCAACGAAAAGCGAACGAAGACCAACAAATTGCCACCCAAGAACAAATACAAAAAGCATTTGAGGCTCAAAGCCAGGAGTTTTCAAAGCCAGGAGTTTAATAGGAAACTTCTCGAAATGCAACAAATGTTTCTTTCGGGGCGAGGAAGTTCATCGAATAGTAAGGTATGTCGTGAAATTAGTTTCTTGATGTTATGGTTATGTGCTCAAGTGTTAAAACTTTACGTATGTTTTGAGAGTATATCTT